GCTGCGCTCCCGGGATGAAGCTGTTCCTGAGCCAAACCAAACCACCAGCACGCACAGCCCCTCTCCCGGTGCTGAGGAAGTGTGTGGCAGCTGATTGAGGCACGCACACAGATGGAACAATGCACATGGTCAGCACGTGTGCATCGCACAGGAGGGAGCCGGACACCATGCGTCTGTGAAATAATGGAGAATGGGGTGGAGTTTTAAGAAAGGCCCTTCATCAGGACAAATAGGATTACGTTCCTGGAAAGAACTGAACTGGGGCAGAAGAAGCCTGGCTTCCTTCCTGCCTCTGCATGTGAAGACAGAAAGACCAAGGCCCAGGTTGCCCAGCACCCCCTGGTACCCTCAAGAGTGTGGAGTTGATGTCGACTCTTATTCTCCACAAAAGAAAGAGGTGGGAAGCACATAAGTTTCCTAGTCTCTCTCTACCTCTCTTTATATCTTATTTTGAGGGGCACTGGGATTTGAACTCAGAGCCTTGCCTTTGGTAGGGAGAGTGATCCAGGGAATCCCAGGCTCACTCTGCAGGCAGGGAAGTGGGGATGCTGGCCCCTGCCCTGCCCTGCCGTGGGTGTGGTGACCACACAGCACCATGCAGCCTGGAGGGGGAGGGGACTGAGCAGGCCACATGCCCACCACATGTGGAACATGGCATCCCAGCCCTGGCTGCTCATACACCCACATATGCATGCACGCAAGGGGCCTTGTGCTATATGGGCCATGAAGACCCTAGAGCAGAGACCATCATCGGTGTCCATTGTTATTAAGGTTGAATCTAGAAAATTCAAAAATAGCTACATGAGTCACCAGCTGGATGGCAAGTCAGGGCAGAAGCGGAGACCCGCTGGACGGGTGGAATGGGGCGGGGACCTTGGAAACCTGGCTCCCATCACGTCCTAGACATCTGGCTGCATTTCCGACTTGCACATACTGGGAAAGATGGGTTCGGAGGCTCTCCAAGCTGCCCGCGTGGAGTCACACAGGGGCAGGGGAGTGCAGGCTGCAGGCTGCCAGACACAAGGCCACTCACAGCAGCAAGAGCCAGGCCCGGATCCTGTGTCCGCCTCACTCCTTTCCTCCCAACCCACGTCACAGAGCCACTGTTTCTCTTAGATTACAGCTGAGAGGACAGAGGAGTGAGGTGATGCTCCACGGGTGCTTAGGAACTTGGTGGGGCACCTGAGCCCCTCACCCTCCGGCCTGGGTGGGAGACATAACAGGAGGCAGGAGAGAGGTGAGAGGGTGGTTCGGCCATGCGGAGGGCTGGGCTGGAGCTCCCAGGGATGCTGGACGCGAAGGAAAGAGGTGGGTGGTCCAGAACCGCAGGCCTGTCCGAGGGTCACCCAACGCCAGGGTAAGCGCAGGCTGCGAATGCCAGGACCGTGGTTCCTTCCTGGGAGGAGGTGGCCACTCTGCCGGCCTCCTGGGGCCTAGAGACCATTCGTCTACCTGGTACAAGACAGACAAGGTCCCAGGCAGAGCTACAGGGGGAGAAGGGGGGAGCACAGAGACCAGGTCCCCGGGACCCCCTCTAGCACCAGCGCTTCTCAACCAGCATCAGCATCTGCTGCCCCTCCCTGGCCAGCTCGGCCCGCCGGGCGCAGGACGTGCCCAGAGGGAGCACTGAGCAGGTCAGGCTGGAGGCTGGGCATGAGAGGGGGGGCAGTGGGGGATGTGAGCGAATCCAGACCACACCTCGCCTGTGACACCTCCTAAACACACACACACAGTAACAGGAGTGCCGGCAACGGCACCACATGGGCCTGAAACTGGGGAGAGACCCCCCAAGGATATCGGGCCCTGGGGAGCCAGTGGACCAGGCCGTGGGGGACACCGAGGACCCAGGACATGAACAGCCCTGGTGCCTCCTGCTCCTCCTCCAGACGCCTGCCTTGGATGCGGCTTGGGCTGACCCCACAGAGGGGGGAGAGCCCCCAGTTAGCAGAAGGTCCTAGAATCCCCTGTGCCACAGGTTTCTCCTGCCCCTGCTTACTCACAGCCTAGGGTGAAACTGAAGGTCACAGCCTTCACCTGAGGGAGGCCCTCCCCCAGCCCCAGGAGGCAGGGCGTGGAGAGCGAGGGGCGCATGTGGGGCCGGCACTGGGCATGGCCCTGGCCAGTTGTTTGTGCGTCCTCAGAACCCACAGTGGACGTACAGTAGCCCCACCCCATTTAGAAACAGCCAGAATGCTTCCCTCTCCCACAGGTTTGCCTATTCTCCCTGCATGGCCTGCCGGGGGCCTGGGTGCGGGGAGCAGAACAGGTCCCGGCCATTCTGTGGTGCAGGCACCTGGAACCAGCACTCCCTGAGTGATGTGAGGACCTCGGGGGTGTGGCCTACACGGATCCCACTACATGCTGCCAGTGGAGGGCAGGCAGTGATCTTGCCAGGCCCTGGACCCATCCAGGATCCTGGCTCCATCCCAGACCCCAGCTCCTGGGCAGCATCCCCAAGGAAGCCACATAGGAGCAGGGGTTTATTTATTTTTTTGGTCAGATATGGAGCTTGAACTCAACGCTGCCCCTCAGCTCTTCAGCTCAAGGATAGTGCTCTACCACTTGAGTGACAGCGCCACTTCTGGTTTTCTGGAGGTTAATTGGAGATAAGTCTCACGGACTTTCTTGCCTGGTTGGCTCTGAACCATGATCCTCAGATCTCAGCCTCCTGACTAGCTAGGATGACAGGCATGAGCCACTGGCACCGGGTGGGGATTATATTTCAAATGTCTATTTGCTGGAACTGATACCTAAAAAATTCTCTGAAGTTGGCCATTTACCACTTGGACAGGATATGTATGCCTGGCTTGGTTTTTTTAATTTCTTCTACCACAAACCAAAACACAGCCTGGCATCAGTGACTGACACGCATAATCCTAGCTACTAGGATGTTTCCTAGAGGTAGAAATCAAGAGCACTGTGGTTTGGGGCCAGCCAGGGCAAAAATTTGGGAGATTCTCATCTCAGCTGAGAGCTGGGTGGGGTGGCTTGCACCATGTAGCTGGTGGCAAAAGCTATGTGGAAAGCATTAATAGGAGGGTCCTGTCCAGGCTGGTAGAGCACCTGCCTAGCAATCATGGAGCCCTGTTCAAATCCCAAAACTCAAAAACAAAAACTCAAACTGGTCTCACACAGGTGTGGAGGGCCAGGCTCACTGGCATGAATCTCTCAGGACCGCAGTGCTTGGCTCAGCCACCTGGCATGGGACCTGCGCAGGGCAGGTGCACCCCAGCCTTCATTCACCCCCACCCTTACCCCCTGCAAGGCCAGCACCGTGGGCGTGGCTTTTCACTAGTGTGAAAGCTTCTTTTCCCGCACTCAACTGCCAAGTAGGTTTGATGAGCTGTTGGGTAAGCAGAGACCAAGAGCAGACCTTCCTCTAGGAATGTGTAGAGAACTAGAATTAAAAAAATAACTAGAACTTTAAAAAATTCAAATTTTTAAAACAGCTTTATTAAAGGCTAGTTAATACAAAATATGGTCAAGTTATAAGCCATCAGTAAGAATGTATCACTTTTGAAAATGTGTATCCAAGAAAGGGAGGTGCAAAGAGAGAGATCATCCCAGGCATTTGGGCTGCAATGGCTGTAGGGAGACCCCCTTCCACACACACATACCCCTACCCAGGGCCCAGGCCAGAGGCCAGTGGTGGAGCCGCCTCTCAGAAAGCTTTTGTAGGAGGTATGCAGAGGTGTGGTGTGGTGGGATCTGAAGTTGATGCAGGCTGCGGCTGGAAAGCGGACACACTCTTGAAGCATCTGCATTCCTCGCTCTAGAAGCTCCATCATGGTCCACAGAGGAGAACACAAGGCAAAGGCTGGGCTTAACTTCCCAGCAGGCACCCAGCCACAGACCCGGGAGGTGCCCCCAGTGGGTAGGCCGGGCATGGTGGGGCCCGTGCCACCTCAGGAGTGTGGAACCTGGCGAGGGTGTGACGCGGCCTGTGCTCTTGGCAGCCCGCCCCCTGCAGAAACACCACGGCCCAGCAGGCTCGGGTCTGGAAGGCACGGAGCACAGTGGCTCTGGGAGGACTCACACCGCCTGGCACTGAGGATGGCAGGAGGTTTGAGGTGGACAGAGACGAGTCTCTCTCTGGGAGAGCAGGCAGGTGGCGCTGGCCAGTGGAGGGCAGGACTGGCTCCAGCAGGTGTGCAGGCTGGGAGGATGGCTGAGGGACCGGGTGTTGAGCAGGCCAAGCCCCTGGGATTTCAAGCTCCACTTCCCTTCCAACTGTGGAACACCAAGTCTCCTCCAATGGCACAGAAGGAATTTGATTGCCAAGTGGCAGCGGGGCTCCCGGGCAAGAGACAAGACCCAGGCCCGAGGGCCACATGCCACTGGGCAGGCCCAAATGAACGTGGGCTGGCAGAAGTCCTTCTGGGGGTGGGAAGAGGGGGCCTGCCGTGTGCTTTACCTCCGAGCCAGAAAGAACATTCTGGGAGCCATTTTGGAAGGCGGTGCAACACAGGCAGTAAAAACAGAGGGCAGCTTTTGGTTCTGCCTGCTGGCATGACTCGCAGGCATTAAGGCTTCAGGTGAGTGTGGAGGGTGTGGCGCAGGCCCTGCCCAGGCTTGGCACCTCCCGCAGGTAGGCGTGGTGTGGGGGTTGAGGGGCCAAGCCCGGCATGGTCTCCAGGCAAGGTCCCCTCCTCCTGGCCTTGGTGCCCACACTGTGAACCGCAGGCCTGGGAGTGGCGGGTGGCTTCCACGGGGCAGGGGGTGGGGGTGGGCCCTTGGGAGGAAGCCCCCCTCCACCAGCAGCCCTCCTGTAGTGCTGGCCCAGGGACAGCCAAGGATGGCCAGCCGTAACAAGAGCTTCCAGGGAATCTAGTACAAAATGGAGCCGGGCTGCTAAGTGTGGCTTAGCAGACATAAAGTCATGAGAAAGTTGTTGTAAAACTTTCAAACATACAACTGTCTCCAAACAATGATCTCCTTTGAGTAAGTTGGGGAGGCTTAGGCTCCCAGCTGATATGAGGGAGGGGTGGATGGGAGGGGGGATGGATGGGGGCGCAGCCTCAGCCTTGGCGTCTGCCCCTGCAGCTCTCCTTGCAGCTGAGGACTAGGAGGTGGTCACCTGCGCAAGGAGCCCCACGCACAGACAGCGTGCGAAGGGGCAGAGGAGGAAATGGAGTCACGTTCACCACTTTCGTAAATAGTGAAAAGAATTCCTTTGAGGGGAAAATTGGGTAGAACTAGGAACTTACATTAAACTCCTAATGGACTATAAAAATTCCAAGTGTAAAACTTCTGCTATCAAATTACTGAAAATAGCATATATCTGGTTTTACCAAAGAGGAAAAAAAAAAGTCTGGCACTATTTACCAGTTTGCAAAGAATTAAGGAAAGTGTAGAGAGGGGAGCCGGTCTCGGGGCGCTGCCTGCGCCGCAGGGCGGGGCGTGCTCGGGTCTCCGCTGCCGTCCTGTTTACCAGTTGTCCAGAAAATCGAACCCTGTCTTCAAGACGACCGTGCTGGAGCTGACCTGCAGGGAACAGAGGCGACGCAGTGAGCCCCGGCTCACAGTCACGCCGTCTAAAAACAGCATCTCATTTAGAATGACCCAGATGAAATAGTCTGATTCCGTCTCAGGGCCCTGACCTCAATTTACCTTGGTGCTGGAGACCAGAAAATCACCCCAAATTCCAGGCACAGTCCCAGTCCCTTGCAGCCCTGTGACCACACAGGGCATGGATGGTGAGAAGAGGACACCTGTCAGTGCAGAAGTGGCAAGGACTTCCTAGGGCGGAGTTCTGAGCACCTTGGAGGCTGGGGTACACTCCCAAACCCAGACCTCTGGGTCTGCGGGGTGGGACCCACCTGGAGGGCCTGGGTGTCTACCGGGTTCCACCAGCCACTCCTCCCGCACACGGGGGCCTCCATCCACCACTCCTCCCACATGCAGAAGCCTCCACCGGCCGCTCCTCCCACACACGGGGGCCTCCATCCACCATTCCTCCCACACACGGGAGCCTCCATCCACCACTCCTCCCACACACGGGGGCCCCAGTGGACAGAGGGAGTGGGGCCCCCAGCCAGGAGGCCACAGCCCGTCCACATCCTCCATCTCCCTCTGCACCAAATTCACACCCTCAGACCTGAAGTCCGCCTGGGGCTAGGCTGTCACCTGGCTCCCCTTCTCAAGCAAGGATAGCGGGGTGCGGGGTAAATGTCTCCCTCCCAGGGCCCAGCCACGAAACCAAGCGTTCCTCAGGGAGAAGAGCAGAGCAGGCACAAGCACAGAACAGGACAAAACAGCCATCCTAGGCAGCGGGAAACGGAGCGAGCCAGTCAGTGTTAGGGCTGGAGGAAAGTTCTAGAAGGTGTCAGGACACAAGGCTCCCTTTCTTGGGGACGGTTAGACATAGCCAGCACCTTGGGCTCTTCGCTCTCACACACTGAGGGATGCTAGAAGATGTCCACAATTCAACAGCAAAGTCACCAAGCTTTCAAAATGAGCCAGGGGACAGGAAGAGCCGGGAGCCCCCTCCAGACCAGTCTAGAGCTGGCAGCTACGTGGGGAGCACACGGAAAGCGTGACCAGGGATGCGCAGACGGAAGCCCAGTGGAGGGGAGACCGGAGCCTGTGTCCTGCGTCCTGTGTCCAATGGTGCAGAGGAAAAGGGCCCAGCCACAGAGGCCCGTGGCAGCTCCACAAAGACAGAGCCATGCCACGCGCAATGGGAGCACTGTGGGTGAGTGAATTCATGAAAAAAAATGGGGCAGATGCACGCTAAGGCTTATTACTCAGCCTTAAAAAGGAAATTCTGACACGTCTGATTGAAGATGTTCCGGTGCAGGCAACAAGCGCGTCACAAAGCACAATTGCCTTGCGTAGAGCTGCAAGGTCTCTAATGATACGGAGACCAAAAACATGGTGCTGCCCAGGCCAGGGGAGGCGGAGGCCTCTGAGTCTGCTGCCTTTCCCCTGGAACAATGGCCATCCTGTCTTGTCCTGATTTTGTGTCATCTTCCAACACTGGCATCATTTAAAGTCACAAACAAACGCTCAGTCTTGTCTCTGTAGCTGCGCTTTTTATCAGGCCATAGCCGCGCTCTGGGGTGTGGGGTTGGGGGTGGGGGGAGAGGCACTCCATCCTCCCTGCTCCCCCACCTCCTGCCCCAGCCCTGGACAACTCTTTTTTTGGGGCACCAGTACCTAACCCCACCCATCAGGACAGGCTGGAGTCGGATCCCTTCCCAGGGCCCTGGTCTGTGCCTGGGCCTGCCAGCTCCCACACCACCACCTGCGGTTTCCTCTTTCCAGACCCCCTTGGGTTGGGCAGGTGTCCATCCTCCTCCCACCGACCTCCATCCCCCCGAACTCCCCATAGGCAAGGGGACAGAGGGGTGGGCAGAGCTCACAGGAGGAAGAGGAAAGGAGGGAGGAGGGGAACACGGCACCGTGGCCACCCAGGCAGTTGTACACGCAGGGGTGGGCGCCTACCTGAGCCAGCGTGGGTTCCAAGAACAGACGGTCTTCGTCCTCCAGCCCGGCGCCAAGCGCCGGCAGCTTCCTCCCAGGCTCCGGGTCAGCGGGAGCAGGGACAGCCTGTGGCCTCTCCTGCTCCCCTTCCGTGCCGGATGGGACCTGCTCCCGGTGGGCGGCCTTGGCCTCCCGGTCCTTCGGGGCTGGCTCCTGCCAGCAGCTGGCTGGAGAGGCCTTCTCTGCCTTCTCCATGGACTTGATCTGGCTGGGGGTCAGAGACTGGAACTGGGCCTCCGGCCCCTCCCGGGAGCGCTCCGCATTGACCTTCCAGAAGGCCGCTTCCTCGTCCTTCCTGCTGGGCCCCAGGGCATCCAGGCTGGAGGACCGGCTGCCCTGGGGGGGCCTGAGGCCCGGCGCACCCTGGGAAGCCTTGGCAGGAGGCCTCAGCGGCTCGCTGACCGAGACGCCCGCACTCGGCTCCTGGATGGATAAGGAGGAGATGCTGAACTCCATCTGACTCTACAGAGAGAAAGGAAAGAAAGCTGACAGCACAACCCTGGGCCAGCCCTCCCCAGCATGGCATGCACACATCCGCACACATCCACACCCATACAAACTGCCGTCCCCTGCCGGAACTCGGTCTGTTCTGAGGGGCTGTTTTCAGGACTGCGTGTGCACTTCCAGGATGATGATCAGCAGCCACCAGTGGCTCCCCAGTGGCTCCCATTTGCAGAGGGGCTGCCGCAGGCTGGGCCTGACTGGGCTCAAGGGGCCCTGGGCTCTGCAGGGGCCAGTGGCCAGCGACGCACCTGGAGGCCAAAGCCTGGGGGCCACTTCAGCACAGACCAGATGCCTTTTAGGTCCAGAGCTGTCCTGCCACCCACAGCGACCTCCAAACCTGACCCTGCTGAGCTGTGCACATCAACCAAGCATGGAGCGTCTCACAAGGGGTCAGACACAAGGCCAGCATCGGCCCTATCGGCAGACAAGCGATTTACCACTCTGTCCTTTCTAAACCAATCCCAATCCCAAAGGCTCACCAGCTATGTGCATTCTGTCATATAAAATGCTTATGGAAATGAACTTCCAAGAAATGGAAACAAGAGGATTTTCACTACATTGTACTTTTTTGTGCTTTTCTCCTTTGTTATTTTTGTTTCCTGTACCTTTTGTCTTACAAGTAAGTTTATTTGTTTTGGAAATGGTGGAACAAAGGGAGAACAATGTGGCAGTGATCTCACTAGACACTATGTTGACAGTGATCTACACAACTTACTGGGAGAAAATGAGAAATGCACTCCTTACCTGACCTTTGTAACTGTAACTTCTCTGTACCTCACCTTTATAATAACAGGCTCAGTGAGCCCAGGCCTGTGGACCGGCTGCTTTATCTAGCAGAGGTAGAAAGGTGGGGTGGAGATCAGAGACCACCCCAGGAAAAGTTAAGACACTATGTGAAAATAAACTAAAAGCGAAAGGACAGGGACCAGAGCTCAAGTGGTAGAGCACCTGTCTGGCAAACCCAAGGTCTGGAGTTCCAACACCAAGACACTAAAAACAGTTGTTTAAAACACCAGGAGCAGGTTTACTAACAGAGAAGTTAAGACCCAGATGCCCTCCATGTGGGCAAGAGGGCTGCCCAGAGGCTGGGCCTCAACTTTTCCTTGGTGGTCAGCCCTAGAAAACTGTGAGAGGGCGGGCGAGGGGCTGGGCGAGGATGGTCAGACCTGGCTGACGTTTTCTACCAGAAAGACCCTGTCTATGTCACAAGCTTCTCTGTGGACGTCAGCAGTCCAGGATGTGACTCATCAACACCAGAGCCACCCTCCTCCTCCTCCTCCTCCTCCTCCTCCTCCTCCTCAAGCTTCCCTACTCCCGGTTCAGCCCCTGCATCCGCATGATGCAACCTCCAAGGGCTGGGCAGGACCTGAAAGAGGTTTTCAAAAGCCGCATCTGCTGGGCATGCCAGGCTCCCTTCCTGGCCACCATGCTGTCTGCTCTCAGCTGTTCTCTCTGTGCTCAAGCTGCAATCACCCTGAGACCCAGGAAGGACAGGACTGGGCAGAACCTCTTTATGATGAAGGGCCAAAGCTGCCCTTGGAGAAAGACCCCCACCAGGCTGGACCAATGACAATGGGGTAGCAAGGACTCTGGAACCCTCCAGACAAGACTGGAATGGCAGTCAACTGAATCCAGCCTGTGACAGAGACCCCAGGGGCACACCTCCCACCCCTTCCCCCTGCCCCCCCCGGGGCTCCCACCCCTGCCCCCCCACCCCAGCTCCCTGAGACCCTGGGGCACACCTCTCACCCCTGCCCCCCCCGACCCCGGCTCCCT